CAGCAAGCACACGTGCCCTCTAAGAATACACACACACACACACACATACACACACACACACACACACATATATATAAAGTGTGTGTGGTGGGGGTTCTGACACCAAGACTGACTTCAGCCCATTTATGCTTCCTGCTGCCTGACATGCAGATGAGATGACTAGACCAACACCAGCCATCTTGGTTCAAGAGGGGATCTGGAGAAGAAACCAGTGGCAGAGCAGAAAGATGAAAGGGACTAGATTTATTTTTTTAAGATTTTTAATTTATTAGTATTTTACACATGCCAACCAGGGAGAGACAAAGAGAGAGTGAGAAAGTAAGCCATCAGGTCCAGGACTCGAACCACAGTCACTTATGTGGGAATCCAGCACTTTTAACCACCATGCCACCTGCTGGCCCTGAGACTAGATTCTTTTATTATTTTTTTTTAGAGGATAACCATATAGGGCGCGTGAGCTCGCCAGACAGACAGAGAGAGAGAGACATAGAGACAAAAAGCGAGAAATCGCCCCCCAGGGGGAATGGTCACACCGCAATCCCTTCTCCTCCATTCTCCTCTCGGGATTTTGGGCACGCACGCACATGCGCCTGGCATGAGTTTTAAGCCACCGGGTCCGGGACGCGAACCGCGGTTGACTACGTGGGAATCCAGCGACATAGCCATTACATTAACTGCTGGTTCCCGAGACTAGATTCTTAATGACCATAGAAATCCCTATTAGAGCCCCAGACTCCTCGTCTACTTATTTCATGTGAGAGAAAATACACCCTCAGGCGTCTAATCCAGTTTGGGTTTTCTATAATATGGTACTCACCTGAATCCTCACTGACATATGTAATATCCCCTAAAACAGTCCCTAGGTGAGAGAAAGCCCTACAAAGGAGGCAGGTCCCAAGGAAGTTGTTTGGGGATACCTGTTTCCCTCTACTACCTTCTCTGAGAACTTCTCCCACCACGGCTCCCGATTTGATACACATGATTTTTCTTCCTTCCAACCATCAATATCCTGCCTCGCTGAGCAGACTGAGGGGCTAGAGATTTTTACCTCGACCAGCTGGAATTTGGAACGGAGCTGCTGAGAACTCATCATCAGTGGCACTTTATATATGTACCACAATGCAAAACAGGGACTTGGCCATGATGTACAACATATGGATCGACCAGTCTTCAAAGAGAGAAGAATAGTCCAAACATACACAGAGGAAAGAAATGCTCAGACGGAAAGAAAGCGAGTCAGCCGAGTGAGCTCCAGCAATCAGAGCCTGGACTGACTATGATTCCTGAGTGACAGGTGAGGAGACCGAGCTCCCAACTCAATAGTTCTCCTGCAGGCTGGAAGGCGTTGTTTCCCATTTCTGCCTACATCCTTGTAATAATCTCTCCCTTCTTTCTATCTTAAGTGAACTCCTGTTTCATTTAAAGCAAAAAAGTTCTGATTGGCAAAAGTTTGATGGGACCAAGACACTTCTGGACGTGACCAGCTTAGAGGCTTATTTTATAATGTTGAATCTTATAACCAGAATTTCAATTTATCAAATGATGAAGACTGAAACAAAACAACATGAATGGCTTCCAATGAACAGAATCCAGCACTTTTAACCACCATGCCACCTGCTGGCCCTGAGACTAGATTCTTTTATTATTTTTTTTTAGAGGATTTCACTATAGGGCGCGTGAGCTCGCCAGACAGACAGAGAGAGAGAGACATAGAGACAAAAAGCGAGAAATCGCCCCCCAGGGGGAATGGTCACACCGCAATCCCTTCTCCTCCATTCTCCTCTCGGGATTTTGGGCACGCACGCACATGCGCCTGGCATGAGTTTTAAGCCACCGGGTCCGGGACGCGAACCGCGGTTGACTACGTGGGAATCCAGCGACATAGCCATTACATTAACTGCTGGTTCCCGAGACTAGATTCTTAATGACCATAGAAATCCCTATTAGAGCCCCAGACTCCTCGTCTACTTATTTCATGTGAGAGAAAATACACCCTCAGGCGTCTAATCCAGTTTGGGTTTTCTATAATATGGTACTCACCTGAATCCTCACTGACATATGTAATATCCCCTAAAACAGTCCCTAGGTGAGAGAAAGCCCTACAAAGGAGGCAGGTCCCAAGGAAGTTGTTTGGGGATACCTGTTTCCCTCTACTACCTTCTCTGAGAACTTCTCCCACCACGGCTCCCGATTTGATACACATGATTTTTCTTCCTTCCAACCATCAATATCCTGCCTCGCTGAGCAGACTGAGGGGCTAGAGATTTTTACCTCGACCAGCTGGAATTTGGAACGGAGCTGCTGAGAACTCATCATCAGTGGCACTTTATATATGTACCACAATGCAAAACAGGGACTTGGCCATGATGTACAACATATGGATCGACCAGTCTTCAAAGAGAGAAGAATAGTCCAAACATACACAGAGGAAAGAAATGCTCAGACGGAAAGAAAGCGAGTCAGCCGAGTGAGCTCCAGCAATCAGAGCCTGGACTGACTATGATTCCTGAGTGACAGGTGAGGAGACCGAGCTCCCAACTCAATAGTTCTCCTGCAGGCTGGAAGGCGTTGTTTCCCATTTCTGCCTACATCCTTGTAATAATCTCTCCCTTCTTTCTATCTTAAGTGAACTCCTGTTTCATTTAAAGCAAAAAAGTTCTGATTGGCAAAAGTTTGATGGGACCAAGACACTTCTGGACGTGACCAGCTTAGAGACCAGCTTATTTTATAATGTTGAATCTTATAACCAGAATTTCGATTTATCAAATGATGAAGACTGAAACAAAACAACATGAATGGCTTCCAATGAACACGTGGTGGGAGCACTGTTGCTGTAGATTTTGAGGTTGGTATTAAAGGTTAATATCATCACAGAGGCCAAGCCTGTAGTGCAGCTGTCGGGTGCTATGCAGAGGAAGCCAAATTCCATATGGGGCACTAGGGTTTGAGTCCCAGTCCTGATAGCTTGGAAAACATGCTGGGCACATATGTGTCTAGGGTCCTGATGTAAAGGAGAACTGAAGGAAAAAGGATCACAGCATGGCCAGGCCTTGTTGGGGCACGCTCACTCTCTCATGTGTACATATGACCTCTGGCATAAATAAGTAAATTAATTTTTTTTTTTAAAGGCGAATGTAGGACAATTCCCTTTCCTTTCTCTCTCCTCCAGACACCCAAGATGCATACAGGAAAGAAGGCCAAGGGAAGAAGATGGCACCAGCTCTCGCCACTGTGGAGAGGCAGGAAGCCAAGAAGGTAGTACATGCCCTGTTGGAGAAAAGGCCTAAGAATTCTGGCACAGGACAGGCCATCCAGTCTAACCAGCTTCGTCAAATGGCCCCACTACATGTGCATGCAATGGCAGAGGGCCATCATCTACAAGGAGCTGAAAATGCTTCCTGCGACTCACTAGTTCACCCAGGCCCTGGACGACCAGACAGATACTCAGCTGCCTAAGCTGGCCCACAAGTACAGGTCAGAGATGAAACAAGAGAAGCAGCAGCGCCTGCTGGCCCGGGCTGAGAAGAAAGCTGCTGGTAAAGGGTCCCCACTAAGAGGCCACCCATTCTTTGAGCAGAGGCCTGCACTGTCACCACCTTGGGTGGGAGCAAGAAGGCTCAGCTGGGGGTGACTACACATGACATAGAACCCATCAAGCTCGCCATCCTCCTGCCTACCCTGTGTGGGAATATGAGGGTTCGGTTCCCTACTGCATTATCAAGGGGAAGGCCAGGGTGGGACGCCTGGTCCACAGGAAAACTGCCCCATTGTCATCTTCACGCAGGTTAACTCAGAAGACAAAGGTGCCTTGGTTTAGCTGGTGGAAGCCATCAAAACCAATTACAATGACAGATAGGATGAGATCCACCATCACTGGGGAGGCAATGTACTGGGCCCAAAATCTGTGGCTCATTTTGCTAAGCTGGAAAAGGCAAAGGCTACAGAGCTTTCCACCAAACTGGGTTAAATGTACACCATTGAGTTATTGTACATACAAATAATAAAATGTGCTCCTTTGGCCAAAAAATAAAAAATAAAACAAACAAAAAAATAAAGGCGAATGTAGGCCCCACAGGTGGCTTAGTGATTAAGGCGCTAGATCCCACACGGCTGACTCTACAATTGGAATTCCAGACCCAGAGGCTTGAAAATCACATCGTGTGTGTGTGTGTGTGTGTGTGTGTGTGTGTGTGTGTTTGTGCTCAAAATCCCAAGAAGAGAATGGAGAAGGACTTGTGGTATGACTATCCCTTCTAGGGGTGATTTCTTGCTTTCCTTCTCTGTCTCGCTGTATCTCTCTGGCGAGTGCACGCTCTCTATGGCAAAAAAAAAAAATCTTATAAAATGAAAGGCTAGTGTAATTTATAAACATAATTTTTTTTATCATTTTGATGTGTGGATGAAACAGAACATAATACTAGTATCGTGCTCTGTATTCTCATTGCTGTGGATGAGCATTAGACATTGAAGCATGGCTCTGACAAAGGCTCTCTAGAGAGAGTGTGACAGTAAGAGGGAAAAGGAGAAATCACCCTCCAGGGAGATGGCCATGCTGCGATCCCTTGTCCTCCAGTCTCCTCCCAGGATCTTGGGCACACATGCACATATGCACACATGCCTGGCGTGAGTTTCAGGCCACTGGGTCTGGGTCTTGAACCATGGTCAACCATCTGGGAGTCCAATGATGCAACCACTGTGCCATTTGCCGCCCACCTCCCATAGCACATTTTTTACAGAGAGGGCATAGGTGTGCTTTACCTGAAAGCCTCTCACGCTATACAACCATCTTTCTGAAGTAGCTTAGGTACACACTGCTTGGAGGTAGAACATTAATAACGATGATAGTGACAATACACTTCCTTGATGTACAGACATTCTAACAAAGCATTTAATATGTATTTTCTCATTTAGTAATTCCCTTTTTCCACTCTATCATCTTTAAAAAGGTTGGACTAAGGAGAAGCTTATGGTCACTCTTGGCTATCTACTTTTTTACTTACAGTTTGGGTTTGGCCAGAACCGGTGGGGGCTCTTTTACAGGCGAGGAAGGCTCCGGGATTTTTGCTGCTTGTCCGTTGAACCTCTCCTGGAAAGAATTGGGCCTGGTTAGGCTGGTGGTCACCACGCCACCCTCAGAGGATGCTTCACTGCCTCTGTCATCTTCAGGCAGGTTAAAGTGCACACGGAGCCCAATCCTAGAGCTGGACCGGGGTTCGTTGTGGTTCACCAGAACCCCTTCAAGTTTCGGCTTGGTGGGTTGTTCCATTGAAGGACGCTCTGGGTTGGGCGGGGATGGCTGCTGCTCAGTCACAGCCAGGTTGGGGGTGGAGTTGGCTGAGTGCAGAGACCCATTGTTGCTGAGGTCTTCATTTCCTGCAAGGACAATCACAGGGCCTGAGCTGTTGGCCTTATCAGGCAAGACCAGCGAGGACTAACCCTGAACTGGGGAATGTATGAAAATGGGAGAATATTCAAACTATGTGAGTGTATGAATGGGAAAACGCTTGTTGAAAGCAGATGATCTGGTCATTCAAGAACGATGAGGCCAGCAGTTAGTGTAATGGCTATGTCGCTGGACTCCCATGTAATTGACCGTGGTTCGCACCCCGGACCCGGTGGCTTAAATCTCATGCTGGGCGCGTGTGCGTGCGTGCCCAAGATCCCGAGAGGAGAATGGAGGAGAAGGGATTGTGTCGTGTGCCCT